CTTTTCGATGCTCGAGGAAGTTGTTCATGATAGACAATCCGTTGTTTGCACAAAACCGCAACAACTTCATGCCGTTATTGTTGAGGTCGCAAAGGCCGTTTTTCCAATCACGCCGTTCAACTTTTCAACGCCTACTCCGACGTGCGCACTAAAATCGCTCATCAGTATGAGGGACTCTGTATTCGGAACCTCGGACAGAGCACACTGCACTTCCTCAAGGAAGGTATCACATTCTCCTTCAGAATTAGGTACACATACTTCTACCGATGTTGACGTTTTTGCCAGTGGTAGCTTCAGTCGGAAAAATTACCACCTTTTCGTTGATAGGCTTCCAATCAGTGATTCTCTCTGCGAGGTTTCGTATCACCAGAACATCAACACGGACCTGTGCGGGTTTCGCGACGTCGACGCCTGAGTAGAAATACTTTCACCTACATCAGTTCTGGATTCCAGAGCCTTAGCATTTCGTTGACGAGAATCCAACAACATTGAGTTGGTACTTTATGGCCTCTCAACCAATTCTTGTTCCTTTCCTTTGAGTGAAGATTTGTTCGAATTTCCACTGGCGCTATCGTTGTCGTTTAGCCTTTTCTGGCGTTCAATAATATCATCGCGCTGTCTACCTCCTCCTTTCAGAACGGGTTGAAATTCTGTTGCTGACTGATATTTTTTAACGTCCTTCAGTCCGCTTTCGTCAGCCATTGTTGTGCTGCTATGCCCTTGACTGGCAGAAAGAGATGAGCAAATTCTGATTTTTTTCGCATCCTTCCTCGCCCCCATTCCCCCCAACTGGCTCTGCGGCCTATGGAATGCCGGACGACGACCGAACCGGTATAATTTTCGATAGCATCAATGGCATGAGTGTCAGGTTGCAACATTTCAGGAAAGACTTAGCCACGCTCTTTAACTTTCATCCTTTTTCACCTGGGCTTGGGACCAGCAACTTTGGAGATTTTTGCTGTACGAACCCGTAATCTACTAAAAATAATTTAAAACATGAAAATCAATGAGCGACAGAGAGACCATTCTATTGTACACCAATTCAACCTGAACAATGATATAATGAGTAGTAGGTCGTTGCCATTTTTAAAACCTATATCGCAGATCGAAAAATATCAGTTTTGCAGAGGTGTTGCCATAAATTTTGCTAAAACGGAATTTTTTATGATTGTGCCGTAAAATGTATCTTAGGAATCCTTTGCAACCATTCAAAGCTGTAAATACTTTTTGCAATAAGCATGTATAGCTGCTCTGCGTAATGGCGGTTTGACTTTTGGTTATTAATGCCTCCTCATTTTTCCGCATGTATAGATTTTGATTTATTAGCAGAGATAGTTTTCTGCAGTTCGTTAATCGAGTAAACTCATCCATGGGTGGTAAATTAGTTGACCCTGCTGTCCTCCATCATTCATATTTCTTGCTCAGTATCAGCGATTAATTTGTGTTCATGCCTTATAGTTCTACTTTAAATGGCGCTTCGCCTGTTGTTCTTTACTGCGGTGAAAATTGCTTCGTAAAATATGAAACATCAGCACGTGGTTCTCTTGCGTCAGAGCAGCGTAACCATGAAATATTGCAGGAATGAGCTCTGGAAAACACGTGTTTACGGTCCAAGTTAAGAATATGGCTCACGAATGCTTTCTGTAAATAGA